TTTTTTTTTTTTTAATTTTTTTTTTTTATTATTTGGTGAGGAATGCGCGGCATGCTTCTTAGCAGTTTGAGTAAGTCGGGGTGAATCAAAATGTTAGACACATGTCAGGTGTGCGTGCATGATATGTGCCTGTCGATTGAGATCGAATTGATCAATCTCTTGAGCTTGAAACGGATGAGGTCCTCGACCTCGTGCATGCATGGCTGCTGCATGTCGCCATACGTACGCTTTCCGGCCGAAAAGAAGCGAGTCACAGCAGTCAGAGTCACAAGTGGATGATGGCCCTGCTGCATGGTGAGTCAGAGTCACCAGTCATGGAGGCTCGACCGCGGCCGTCACTTTGGGGGATGGTGTTGTGCATTGCAGCATGCTTGTTGCATAGTCACAACAGTTTGAGTCATTCACATTGCGAGAATTAAGCTTCGAGTGAGAGGCGCAGCACATGCAACAATGCCGTGACTCGTACTTCTCAGCCAGCCAGCCAGCCATCCACTCCTCGCTTCTTCTCCACCACCGCTTTCCTCATCCTCACGTCTCTCCCTCCCACAGACTCCCAAGCAGTCAGACAATTGACTACTCACGAGTCTGATTTCTCCCGAGTTGTGTCTAATCACTCGCATTTCCTTCCTCATCTCTTTCATCAGCTGCCCAATTCGCTGTGCAGCCCCTCAAGATGGCGCATTCAAACGGCAATGGAGCTCAGTCTCATCACACCCAGGCTTTCCATCGCACTTCCCTCTCCTTCTCACCTCCCACCTCGAATGGAGCAGGAAGTTTCAGCGGAATGATGGCCGCTCAAGCAGCCCACGTTCCCATTCCCGTACCTCATGGAGCTGCGGGCGGACAATCCTTCTCGCCCACCTCTGCTTCTCCTTCTCATGGCCGCTCCATCTCCATTCCAGCAGGCGACCACGCCTCTAGACCCCGACTGCTCACCCCCTTCGATCAGGGGGACATCAAGATTCTTCTCCTCGAGAATATCTCTCAAGGTGCGGTGGCTTTGCTCAGGAATCAGGGTTACCAGGTTGATCATGTCACAAAAGCTTGGAGCGAGGAGGAATTGATCGAGAAGATTGGGGATTACCATGTCATCGGAATAAGGAGCAAGACGAGACTTACAGCCAAGGTCTTCCGAAAGGCTGCAAAGGTGGGTATGGTCAGCAGAAAGGCCGTGTCGATAGCGGCAGGGATGAAAGGGCGTCAGAGACTCACTACGCGCTTGCACCTCTTTTCATCTCGCACAGCTGCTCTCTGTCGGATGTTTCTGCATCGGTACAAACCAAGTGGACTTGGAAGCAGCAGCCAAAGCAGGTGTTCCCGTCTTCAACAGCCCATTTGCCAATTCTCGCAGCGTGGCCGAATTGGTGATTGGCGAGATGATCTGCTTGTCTCGTCAACTTGCCGATCGTACGCTAGAGATGCGCGCCGGAGAGTGGAACAAAGTGTCAAAGAGCTGCTACGAAGTTCGCGGCAAGACATTGGGCATTGTGGGGTATGGGCACATTGGAAGTCAATTGAGCGTATTGGCGGAAAGCATGGGCATGAGCGTGCTCTACTATGATGTGGTACCGCTCATGCCGCTCGGAACTGCAAGGCAGGTGGATGCGATCGAAGACCTTCTTGCCAACAGCGATTTCGTATCGCTGCATGTGCCAGAGCTGCCGGAGACGAGAAACATGATCAGCACTGCACAGTTGGCAGCTATGAAGAAGGGCTCTTACCTGCTCAACAATGCGCGCGGAACCGTCGTCGATCTTCCAGCGCTGGTGGAGAGTCTGGAAACTGGACACTTGGGAGGCGCAGCGATCGACGTGTACCCCAAGGAACCGGCAGCAAACGGACCAAACACGTTCACAGACAACTTGAACGGCTTTGAGAGCCGATTGAGAGCGTGCAAAAACGTTATCCTGACGCCGCATATTGGAGGCAGCACGGAAGAAGCGCAAAAGATGATCGGTACGGAAGTGGCGACCGCATTGATACGCTACATCAACTTTGGCTCGTCTACCGGAAGCGTCAATTTCCCCGAGGTTGCTCTGAGAGCCATTACGGAAGGAGACAAGGGAATGACGAGATTGTGTTATGTGCACAACAACGTGCCGGGAAGTCTCAAGGCTGTCAATGAGATCTTGGCGGATTACAATGTTGAGAAACAGTCGAGCGATAGCTTTAGGGACTTGGCTTACCTGCTCGCGGACGTGGCCAACCTGGACCAGGCGGATCTGAGGGAGGTGTACGACAAGATCACGAAGACCAAGGCCAACATTCTGACCAGGGTGTTGTCGTAGGTTTCGACACCTTGCAATGGTTTTTAAGGCTTCCACTCGCGCACTCGCCATCGACGGATGCCTTCAGGCAAAAGTACCTTCGATATTGCGCCGCACTGAGCTTTCCGCACTCGCCCCAGAAAAAAACCACATCGATCTATCTATCCTAGACCGTTCGCACTGCCTATGGGGTTCGCTCCGCTCTTGAATACTACTCATCCATCAAGTCGACTTTCAAGTCGTCTCGAAACTTCATTGAGCGGCATCCATGCTCCCCTCGCCTCACCGGTTCAATTGAGCAAAAACTGGGGCTCCATTTTCCCCCATTCTGATTTCAATTGGCTCAAAGATTATGTTTACATGTCTTGTACCAGGTTCATCCCCCTTCCCCCTCTCTTTTCCTTAGCGCCTAGATCGCAAGATATTGATGCCTTCAACAGCAGAGCAGAGTAGTGTCGTTCTGATGGGATGTGGGGAGGGGGGAAAGCAGAGCCGCGAGTGTTCGGCCAAGAAGAAAGTCTGAGTCGAGCCTGTCGCTGCAATCACGTAGTCACGTGTTCGAATAGTCTCATCACGTGGAGGCGCATGCCTGCTGAATAAACCACGGCGCGAATTTGAATGTGTGAATGACGAATGCGTGCGGAGGGCGTGACGAGGGAAAGGAAAAGTGCCAGGCGCGCGCAGGCAGGCCCCCAAGGCTTGCACTTTGACTCGAGACCCAAGACTGTTCGAAGGACTCGCGACTTTCGCATGTGATCGTGTACAGCGGCGGGAAGGGCTTTCCATCGCTCTTTCGCTCTTTCACCTTGTATACCTGCCCTTGAAGCTCTCTCTCTCGAGCCTTTGCGCCTGGGCGTCGTCTTCCTTCACATCAACTCCCAAAGGCGCTCCTTTACCTCTTGGGCATTGTCGCAAGGCGCCACGCCAAGACTGAAGTGCAGTGCAAAAGTTTGGGCCGAGCCAGAACAGG